CAATCTTAAGTGCTTCCTACCCTTCAATCCGGTACTCGGTAGTGCTGTTTTGAGGAAGAAATATAGAGAGCAGTGGTAACTATAGGTAGGTAGTTAGTTTTTTTTTTATGAAGCTAAGTGACGGGACGAACAAGTCGTGCGCCTGATGGTAAGCCACACGCCTGTCTGTAACAGTTGCAGTGCCGCTCAGAGATTTAAATCGCTAAGATCTGTGGGGCACAGCCACTTAATATTAAAAAAAAACTCAATAGACTGAAATAAAAGGTGGAGGGCGAGCTTCTAATACCTATATAGTAATACGCTACGAGTTCCTTATAACGCGATTTTCAAAATTCACGCTAAACCACCATTTACAATGATGCATTGATTTGATTGATTTAGCCAATTTGAACCCGTAGCTTCTCAGTTACTAAAAGTGCATTGTCACCGGTAGTTGTTTCTTTACCTTTAATATGTAATCACATTGGTACCGTCCATTATCCAGTGAATTGTAAAGGATATTTTTTACGAACAATGACGCCGCCGGCTAAGAAAGAAGAGCGTAAAAGCCTGACTTTGGAAACGAAGATAAACGTTTTAGAAAAGATGGGTTCGTTCAAATAGCACGTTCGTTACAATATTTAGCTTATTATTCGATAATACCCCGTTCTATCCCTGGTAGCAGTCGTTAGGTCAAGATACCCTAGGGCGATCAAAAAGCTATAGCACCAGGCGGGCCACATAAAAAAAGACCAACACCGTTTTACGCGAATTTCGCTTAACGCGATTTTGTCCGGAACGCATGAGTCGCGTAAAGCGGTTTATTACATGTTTAACTATTAGCAACCTCTGCCATTGCTAGCACAGATGATCTTAGGTCTCACCCCTGTTCGGTGCAACACCATACATATAAAGGTTCTATGATTTAGGTTCTAGACGTTGAAGCAAACGCAATCTGCTCCGTCCAAAGCTTTTATGCGGCATTACTTCGTCCTGTATAAGATCGAAATATTTCATAACATTACAGCCATTTAAAAAATGTGTATCGTATACTATACGTGTTCTATTTAGTTCAGTTGATGTAAAAATAATTATAATAATAATTGAATATAGCGGTATTCCTGTAAAATTTCGAGGGAAGTTTGTGTTTTTAGGAATCGTGTTTTTACACCGTGAAGCAATCAGTGTATATCCTCAATTGTGATTGATTCAACATTTTCACTGTTGTACGGAATCAACTATAGTCATTTAAGGTAATGTAGACTCTTAACTGCTCATTCTCGATCGCATTTTGCTGAGTTGATATTGATAGCGGCTATTTGCGCTATGTAGGTACCTAGCGCTATTCGCAGTCTACATGAGGGCCTAGTGAAAAAAAACCGGGAACATTATTAAATTAGCATACCTCAAAATTAGAGGTCGTTTAAACGAAAAGCACTTAAAAAAGTCTGCTTTTTAAAATAAGCGCATAAGCACGTTTTTAATTTTAAGCGTAAGCGTTGTTTTTAAACACAAAGTCTATGCGCTTAAACGTTTTTCTAAACGACATTTTAAGCGTTAAACTAAAAAGCGTTTAGGTGAAAAGCGTACGTAACGTTAAAAAAAAAGCAGTTTTATTCCATTTCAACGGCTAACATCTACAAAAGTTAAACAGCTTATGTTTTTGAACGCTTTTAAACGCCAATGAATAAAATTTTAATATTAATAATATTTAATATAATGTTATTTATAATAAAAATATAACTCGTTTTTTACAAAAAAAACTTACCTATCTTAACACCTTTAGTGGTCTACTCTTGCGTTTCGCTATCAACACAACGTTGCAAGCTTTTTTTAACATAAAAGTGTATGCGCTTCAGAGGGAGCAGACGACAAATTCCTAATCTTCGATTTGATTTTAGAGGGGTATATTCACTTTAAAGTTAAAAACAAAACATTGTATGAGTAACTACACGATATATTCAAGCATAGACATTAATCAGAAACATAAAACAATAAAGTTTCCTCGATAGATAAAAATCACGAAATGACCTCTAATTTTGAAATTTTTTCGATTTATCCTCGAAATGCTAAAGGTTATTAGGACAAAAATTAGATAATTAATTATTTTTATGCATGATCGACAACTGTCACTACGGATTTTTTTTAATCCCTTTAGTTTTAGAGTTATTCCGCTAAAACGAATTTGGTACTTTTAATGCGCAAAATTCAACATCTGTCGTATGTCACGCGAACTTCAGGTATATATTTGTTTCACAAATTTGGGCGAAGCCAACGTCAAAATTTTTTTGGCATGCTCCCTCTAAAACGTTTTCTAAACGATTTTGTTAGCTTCAAACTAAAAAGCGTTTAAAAAAGCATGCTTTTTAAAAAAAAGTATAACGTTTAAACGTTTAAAAAATAAGCAGTTTTTCCCATCTTTACTCAAAATAGACAGGCCAACGTCAATGGCATGCCAATAATATAAATTTGGGCCCTTTGGTGGCGCTAGTGGTGACATCAATTTTCTTATTCTATCTATTGTCTGCCTCGTAGGCATAAAAAATAGTGTTGCTATCTTCTGAATTTATATCATCGCACACAACACCCACTGGAATATATGGGTTAACCCTCATCCTAACCGAGAACCAAACGGCAAATTTTATTATATTTGCATAATGAATCCATGTAAATCCATCACTAATGGTACATTAAGGTGAGAATTTTAGATGTTGGAATATCATTCCTCCAAATAAGCTTAGAAACTTCAAATAGGTAATTTATATCTTGTCTGAGTTATGAAAGTTTTAATCGTATTATTTAGTTAAATCTGAATATTTTAAAAATACCCTGTTTACAGTTCTTATTACCGATGAAATTATCAATTTGCTTCTCCATGTTCCGATAAAATTTTGTTTGTATCAAGCCTCAGTAGAAACGATACTTAAGTACAACAAGCGCCATCTATTGGAAACTGTATAAAACAATAGCATATCGCTAGTGCTTGGGTTACCGTCGCTGTACGCATAATGCACACTTCTGATGCACTAAACTAGATGGCGTTGCTTGGATATACACTAAATGTGCATTTTCATAGAATTCATGTCCACTTTCTTAAATTACATTTTTAAGCTTTCGCATACGATAGCAGAACACTTGTGGACGAAATTAACATGAATATTAATAAATGCAATCAAATCATCAAGCAATTATAGTGCATCAGTGGATGCAACTCCCTCCAAAAGCAATTACTTGGCAAGTTCGGTACTCATTTTAGTAAATCTGACATAGATAATGTAATAATAGATCTATATAGTACTGGACTGCCTCATTGATTAAAAAAATCAACATAACTATAAATATTTTGATATATGTAACATTTGCTTCACCATGAGATATGCAATATGTACGAGTATACAAATACCTCATGGTGAGCAGGGGCCAGATATACTACCTACACCATGTGTTATCATCAGCATGCTTCAGCAAACAAAATTGCTCAAGTCTCCCTATATAAATAAAAACCAAATAACACATGTTTAGTATCAATCTAGTCCTACCCCTAATAAAGATCCCAAAGTCGTTCTTAAAATACTAAAACAATTTCTCAACAAACTAAAGCGAAACTAAATCCAGAAAAATAGTTTCATTTCCTATAGTAAAAAAATTTCTATATTCACTAAATCATTTTAGTTTTAATAGTTAAAAGAAATCTTTATTTCTTCTCATTAGTGTACAGTTGGCATCATTGGTGGTAACTGGATGTTTTCCTCGCCTAGAGAATTAGTATCACCATAAAGCACAAAAATAGTGTTAGTTTTACTTGGTATCACGGTCACTTACTATACTATATAAACAGCCATTTTTTATAAAGGAAACTTCGTATGAAGTGCGTAACATTTTCAATAAAGCATTGTTTGTTTTATATTGTGAGCTGTAGTACGCTATGCTCTAGAGACATGATGCTACCATAAAGGTCCCCACACTACATGTTTCACAAATTTCAATTTTACTTACAATACAACAAAGATATAGAGCACTACTTTGATAAGAAATATCAGCACATTAATGTAACATGACAACTTATCTTAAAAACAACATGTGGCCATTGAAAACTCGAGAATTTGAGCTAGAATCCTCAAAATTTGTATATTTTAAGATGATGAAACTATAAAGTTTATTGTGCAATGTTGGGACCTCGATTGGAACAAGCAAACAGTAAGTAATTATCATCATTTTTGATTAATATTCTTTTATTTGTGTCCAAAACATTAACATATACTAAATTAATATAACAGGGGATGTGATTGATGTGATATTCATTTCTCGAACAGTTTAAAAATGTGCAAAAATAGAACATAACAAAGGAAATACAGGAAAATAGAGGACTCACATTCTGAGACTCTTCTTCCAAAACAGCCATAGTTTCGAAGTCAATATTCATCTTTTACTATAGTAATGCACTTGCAAAATCCAAAATACAACGTGTTAATAATAAATTAAGAAACAAATAACAAGGAAATAGATAATTTCTATCAAAGTATTGTTTACAAACTCGCAAGGTCATTTGACATATTTTGGTAAATACGTCATGTGACGTCACCGGTATTGATCGTCCATGCAAATACTTTTCGTCTTAATCTAATCAATAGTTTTTATAAAAAAAAAATGGTATATTAATATTCTAAGATATTGTCGCATTTTCACAGTAGATATGCATTGTTTGGTGAATTGCGAAATAAAGAATTAAGTGTTTGATTTAAATGTAAAACATTATTTTATCTGTAGTTCAGCGCGATTGGTAAACTGATGTCAATTGACAAAACTATAGCCAATAGAATGCGAGACGCAATAGACAAATAACATATGACGTGGTGACAGAGATAACTATACAAATCAGACAGAGAGCAACAGAGATAAAAGATGACAAGTTCATATTGCTACAGTAAAATAATATTCAGACATGATTCCAGACTTTTTTTCTAAATGTTGCCCAAATAAAATAGTAGTTTCAACAGATATTACCAGTTGGAAAAACGTAAACTAAACGTCAAAGTTTTTCGACCTCGCTAAATTTTTCATTCTGTGATAAATTTCGTAGTTTTTATGTTTTTTTCATAATTATGCTATGTGGCCTTAAAACCTGCGGATCGTTTGATTAAATTACTATTTTAGAATGTGTATTGTCTGTAGTGTTAAAGCAGTGGTGTTGTATTATCTTGTGCGAGTGCATTAGTGTCATTCAGAGATCACGATGCGTATCGGTTTTGTGTTATATTGGTGCGTATTGGCTTTTCATTTGTGTAAAGCGGACGATGTTGAGAGGACAGAGTCTAAAGAAGGTGGTAGAAGACAATGGGGTCCTCTTATGCGACCAGGATCTATGAGCGATTCTCCGTCAACGGTTTCAAATGATCACAGTAAGTTAATTTATGTCACTGAATTCGATCATTTTTCCCAGTGCTCCTGACACCTGTTTGCGTCCTTCACTCGTGTCGTACTCTACAATGCAGTATCATTACACTTCAAACTAATTAATCGTGTATTCGGTGTTTACTAATAAAGATAATGCTCAACTCTAGTTTTAAGGTTAGAGAATTAAAATGACCTTTAAAATTCAGGTTTCCTTATCAGGACATTGTCGATCTTTCTAGCAGCAATTGTTTTATGAAAATTATAGGTAGGTTAGTTGAATATGATACTTTATCATACTTTATCTAAACAACTTAATTTTATGTATGTTTTGTAGATTTTTCATCAGATTAGTAAGTTGCTGATAATGTAAACAAAAGTCCTATAAGGAAAGTCTATTTGCAGGCCAGTGTAGTTTCTGTTAAATCTCACATTATGAGTAATACAATAGTGACTACAATAATATTAATACAATAGTAATACAATTTATATAATAATTCAATCCAAAAAAGAAAATCCAATTTATGGATTTAAAAACATTTTTATGTATATTAGATAGAAGAAAATCAGAGTTATCACATTGTTCGAATAAAATTAGTTTGCAGCTAGCACTTTTATGTGGTAGGCTGGGGTGGTAAGTGTATCCAATGGAAAAAAAAGGTTTTTTCATATAGTTTTCTTGTTTTGGGTTGAGCGCCATTGGTTGCTACACTAAAAGAAAAAACATAAAAATTAATAAACCTGGCTCCAATTTACTAGTAATAGATTCCAAAGCCATATTTTGTGAAAAAAACAATTCAAAATTGGAACAAAACAATTGCTCATACTAGTAATTAACTCGAAGATTGTATCTACTCAGTATGATTTATTAAACACCACAGTGGAATGGCGGATTACAACCAGACAGTACCACCTACCAACTGCTATTGAAAATTGCAACTTGCTTCTTTTGCAGGAGTTGAACTGTTGTAATTTGCAATTTTGTAAAGTGAAGCAGGAACAAAACAAAAATTTTTGAAGACTTATGCAATATGTACACACTTTGCAAGTGCCTGTTAACAACTATAGCATCATACACTCTACACATGCTATTTAGGGCTCTCAAAAATACAAATTGCACCTGTGGTGTAATATGGTTACATCTGCAAAATGACTACTTTTCATGATAGGGGTTTCTACAAACAAATTAGTCGACTTTTTTGTGCTTAAATTATAAAATATAATAATAGTTATAAAATTTTACATAATATACAAACAATTTATTTATTTCACATAGTTAATATTATTTTTATGGCTCATTCGAAAATAGCACTTTTATGTAGTGTCACATGTGACTTACCATTATATGTCTAAACCAAGGGTTGAGTTCAGTATGTTCTTTCGCAATAATTACCCATTTATTAAAACCTTTTAGAGCCTTTGCACACGGCATATAAAATATTATACGCGCCATAAACGCGTGTAATCTGCGCGTTTACGCGCCGCAGACGCGCTGTAGTGTAGATACACTGAAACCCGTGCAAATATCGCGTTGCAAGCAAGAAGCTTTATACAATTTCACGTAATAGCTTAATTTAAAAAATTTACTGAAATTAACAAACAAAACTAAAATTAAAACCGTCCCTTTTACGCGTGTCGTCGGCGCGTATTGATAAGCTCTTAATTTGCCTGTTTGTATCTGTAATTTTGTATAGTGCCTGTCTTAGAACATCTTTTTGAGGCTATACTACATAATAATAGAAAAATATTTCAGCATAATTTTCATGTACAGTAACACTCTTTCTACAATAAGTATAAATTTGTTTATGATTGGCCATGTAAAAATATTCACAATGTTATTCATAGCATCACTATCTTAAAACATGCATAGCCTGAACCCATCAATGTTAAAATTTTAGTAGCAGTAGAGCTCCTTGTGAAAGAGTTCATCCTAGGAAGTACTGCCACCTTACCTATTTCTACTGCCAAGCAGTAATGTGAGCATTGAGGGAAAGGGTGCTGGTTAAATTAACATGCGCACACACTCATTATGTCTCAGGGAGACGGATGTAGTGATAATGCCCCTGAAATCTTTGCAAGTTAAATCCCTGAGTGAAACTCAACTGCAATGAAATGTAACTGCTATGAATAGGCGTATCGCTTACCACCCAGTGCTTGACTTGGTCATCCTGTCACTTGGTATCATGCCTATATAGGTATACCTGTTAATACAGTATAGTACACATTGCCCGCTCATATATAAAATATTCAGAACACAAAAGTGTGTTTAACCATAAGGTTGCTATTTGCTATTACGAAGATATTAATCTTGTGTGCCAATTAAACAACACAGCATCTGGTGTTGCGAATCTGGAATAAACATTGTTAAAGCTTTATTTTGTAGTGCAATTAGAAATCCCGACAAGATTTCTATGTTACTCACAGTTTTTTTAATAATTTTTCATAACCTGGCCATTGATTTCACAATAAAGGTCTGAACTGAAAGTTAGTGAGTCAAATGCTGAGTTTTGTAACCGCAGCGGCCACTATACAAAATGTATTTCGTTTTAAAATGTACATAATTTGTGTTTCTATTTTTATTTTGTTTCACAATAATATAATAATTAATTTATTTATGAAAAAACAGGTCACATTTTGATGTGACATGACAGTCTCACATGAAACATTTTATTGTTTATTATCCAAAACAAAAATAATTAATTATATCAGTGGTCCTTAAATCTAATGTACCTACTGCAATCCCTTTAACTTGTTTATACATAGGTGGCTACAGTGAATATATTTTACAGCATTATGCATTGTAATTTATTGCGGAAACAAATTTATCATTTGTATTACAAAAAAATTACAATTAAAAAGAAAAATTAGAAATTGTACTTTGAATTACTATAGAATTTTTTAAATTTAATTTTTGTTTTCTTTTTATTTTATTATTCTTTCGATTAGTCCTCTTGTTTTTTATTTATGGTGTCGTTTGTGGTAAGAATTTAAGAGAAATAGATTTCTAGATGCTAAAAAACAGGACTACTGGTGTCACAACCAGTGCACATGCAAAATGAGTTCTTACATGCACCACCACACACGTCATTGTCCTTGGTGTTCGTTGTATGTTTTCTTGGTTTTATGTTGTGTACTGGTGTAATATAATTGATGGTTGCGTTATTTTTATTTCAAAGAAAAAAAAGCAGTGAAAAGTGAAAAAACTTTTTTCTCAGTTCAAACACAGGTACAAAACTTTGAATGGGACTTTACTTAATATAATACAATTAATAAAAACTTTACTTGGAAGTAGTAATTACATCACTCAGTCTAGAGCATAAGACATGATTGGGTAACTAACATATTTAGCAAAACAAATGACTCAGCCCTTGCAACCAGCTACATGATAAATTGGTGTGTTGCTATGAGGTTAATAGAGTCCTTTTTTCATAGTTCATAATTGTAAAGTATCCGTTATGTTGGGGTGAGTTTTGAGAGAGTACACAGCCCTATGTCACTGCAATCAACAATTTGATCTATTCTGAACAGCACTAATTTGTATTACTTAATAATACTACTAACATAATATAATAATAAACGTTATATAAAAATTATAGGTATATTTTTTTATAACAATAGCATATTTCACCAAAACATTTTGATATCATAATGTCAGATGAACCTTTTAACGGTGGTCGTAACCCAGTGGAAGAGAGATTAGTTCTCAACTGACAACAGACCTATGACTTTAATTTGTAAATTACATATATTTGTGAAGTTTTAGTGTAAATACCACTTGCTACTGGTAAAGGAAAATATTGTGATGTAACCCAGCTTGTCTAAGGCGGTACACAATGTTTGGAAAACATGAGAAATCTCCAACTCATGTTTGGCCAGCATAGCAGGGGGTCTACTCTAATTCTCTGTCCGAAATCCGTCTGAAACAAGTACTGTCAAATAAGTGGACCAAATCAAATGACAAGTATCAAGTATGAAGCTTCATTCGCATCAAGCATCTTTTAATTAGGACGAGTATTACTTATTTGATAATAATTAGATATAGTAAATATCATGTCAGATGGAGAAGGGAGTAGACCTCCAGGTTAGGGCCTAAACCCTCAACTTAAAGGAGATAAAAGGTGGGACATGTAATGTGTCTAGTCGACAGTTGATGATGAAGATAGGACTAGTTTAACATAATTAAAATGAATATAGCAATGTCTACAATGTCATTTATCTGTAGCCAGATGGGAATTTGTCAAGCAATTTAAAATGATATAGACTAGTTCTAGGAATATCATCAAACATAACTTTATTGCAATATCTTTTATAGTTTTGTTATTTATGTTCCTTTGAAGTCTACCTGCCTTCAAAGGTACCAGTGGATATGTTAGTATATTTTGTAGTATTGAGATAGTTCAATAAGTATTTTAAAAGCAATCAATGTTAAGATATTGATAGTTGATGATAGCAATATAACTGTAATATAACACAGTGTAATAGGAAGTATAGAAATTGTTTTAAGTTACTTTTTTTCTAATGAATGTCCACAATTCAAAGTTGCCAAGATGTCCATTGCATTTTGACGACCTCGGTGGCCCAACGGTTTCCCAGTAGAACTAATTTGGAGATTATCTTTCCTAAATTGATTATGGTCTGGGTGTTCTAGATAATGCCCCGGAGTGAACTCCGTTGCTCTGTTACTCTTAGTTTCAGTAGAGTACCTTGCCGGCCTTTGTAGGTTGTGTTATTTATGTTACTTAGAACTTACCAGATATTGTCAGAATATTTTTTGTAGTGTTAAGATAGTACTAGAAAGAAAGAAAACAAAACGTAAAAAAATAATATTTTAAAAGCAATTAACGCCAAGAAGTAGCAGTTAGAGCTTTGTGAAAGAGTTCATCAGGAAAGTATTACCACCTTACCTATTTCGACCGCCAAGCAGTAATATGAGCATTGCTGCGTTTCGGTTTTGAAGGATAAGGGTGCTGGTGAAATTACAGGCACGTGGGACTTGTCAACTTATGTC